TTCTGAGAGTCATGGTGGCTCTGGTCAGCCTAATTTGATGGGCGCTCATGCTGAAACTGAAACTTCAACCTCACCGTCACCACAACCTCTTCGGGAAACAAGTCAATCATCGCACTGAAGCTCCCGTGGCTTGTGAGGAATGCCGGCCTCTTACCAGGTCTGCGCATCCCTCATGCCGCACTTCCCAGCTTGCATGGGCGACTCCTGCGCAGGCCCAAGCGAATTGGAGATTGCGATGAGTCAACATCGGGAGTGTACAAGTATGGACCCCATCCACTGCAGCAAGCCCTTGCAAACTTGAGTTTGTGGTATTGATGCCACGGTTTCCGCACATCCTCTCAATGTCTCGAAATCCCCAACAGGTCTCCTCCAGGCACCATCGGCTTGCGAGTCCCATGCAAAGCTGCCGGGCTGGGACAAGTTTGAACTGGAGATATCCGCAAGCTGTGCAGCTCCATCATCTGCTACAAACGTCAACGGTGCGCCCAAAACAACTTCACAGGCCTTTGCTGCGTAGCCAATCTCGATAGACCTACAAAAGTTTTAAGTAGAACTTTCTGGATCTGCACTCCGATGCACAGTATCATCGATAACATCCATGCACCGCACGAGATTATCAGATAGGAGACTGATGACAGCAACAAAAGAAACTTACTCTGATCTTGTGCTTGTCTCTCATCTTCGGTAATGGTAGGCATGCTCTCAATGATTTCGACCCCTAATGAAATCGATCATATATTCTATATGTGCTAATTACAAGATAATAATTGAAGAATTCATTTATTATTCTAAAATCTAAAATTTGTCGAATATCCCTTCTTATCCTCGAAAGAATTGATGCATGCCCAAGATCGCCTCCGAATCGTCAGACCAATGCGAGCGCTTTTCTTTGCCGCCGCAGAGCAAGTACGTGCATCAAGATACTATTGTACTTGTCGGCATCTTCGGTTTTGCAAGGTCAGTGCCGCACATTCCGGAAACAACGCAGCGCGAGAAAGACTCCTGCTGCCCAAGCTACAATCCTCAACACTGTTTAGACAGCTCCTATCAGAAGAGGGCTTTCGTGAAGGGCTCGAGCGAGTTTGCTGCAGGAGTTTGAGAGGTCAGGACTCAGGATCTTCGACTCAAGCACGAGGCACGGGCCGTGGAGTCTTTCAAGATGCTGAGCGTCACTTGCTGTGGCGCACAGGCTTCGGGCATCTGCAGGGCACTCAACAGCCTAGCTGCCTGGCTGGCTGGAAGTTCCGCCAAAACATGCGAATCGGTAAACCCTTACATCCCACCATCCACAGCGTGCCCTTCACGTGACAGGTGCAGGTCTAACTCGGCCATCCACATCTCTCTGAACAAGAGTACGTATGGCATAACCATCCTCATAACATCTGTGACCTTTCCGAGTCGTGCGAATTCCAGTCCGGAAAGTCTGAGATGCGAACGGCAGATCCTCCCCTTCGCCCGGCTGGAAGCCGGGTCGAAGAAGCTGCCAGAGGCTGCACGAGTCCAAGCCTGACAGTGAGAGGTAGCCTGGGCCGAAGGGCTCGAAGAACCTGGTTGAGAGCCAGTTTGAGTAGCTGGCTGCTTTGGGCTCGGTCCCTGATACGGCAAACTTAGCCTCTACGGGAAAGCAGCCTTCAATGGGCCGAAAATGCAAAGCATACTCTGCTGCTCCCACGGTTGACTGGGCAGTGCAGTGCAGAGCGTGAACCTGGTTTCGCATGAACAATTCATTATCACTGGACATGGGGTCGCGACGAGACATCGGCGAAACTCCTAAGGAGGTGATTCCCCAGCTGGTAGCAGCACGGTTCACCGCACAAGGCACCCAGCAGAAGCAGCGATGCCGATCAGGTTCTGCGTCGGACCCACAACGCAGGATGGCGAATAGCTGTTCCTCCGGCAATGAAGCATCAGGGCGCTCGTAGTGTCAAGTCCGGTTCCTTTCTCTCCGTGCTCACTCCAAACAGACAGCCCAGGAGGTCGGGGACGCGTGCACAGGGACATGCACGATACAGAGCAGCCGCTGCACTGCTGCAGGACAGTGCTAGACCGTGCTCGACCACGCAGCAGCATCGACACGAGTTCACAAATGGGGCACGATGGTTTCCGTGGACTTCTTCTCA